TACCAGGGCTATACACAGCTATACATAGTTATACACAGCTATACACGGCTATACACAGCTGTACAGGGCTATACACAGCTATACATAGTTATACACAGCTATACACGGCTATACACAGCTATACAGGGCTATACACAGCTATACATAGTTATATACAGCTATATACGGCTATACACAGCTATACAGGGCTATGCACAGCTATGCATAGCTATACACAGGTATACATAGCTATACACAGCTATACAGGGCTATACACAGCTATAAATAGTTATACACAGCTATACACAGCTGTACAGGGCTATACACAGCTATACATAGTTATACACAGCTATACACGGCTATACACAGCTATATAGGGCTATACACAGCTATACATAGTTATACACAGCTATACACGGCTATACACAGCTATACAGGGCTATACACAGTTATACATAGTTATACACAACTATACACGGCCATACACAGCTATACAGGGCTATACACAGCTGTAAATAGTTATACACAGCTATACACAGCTGTGCAGGGCTATACACAGCTATACATAGTTATACACAGCTATACACGGCTATACACAGCTATACATAGTTATACACAGCTATACACAGCTGTACACAGCTATAAGCGGCTATACACAGCTATTCATAGTTATACACAGCTATACACAGCTATACACAGCTACACGCGGCTATACACAGCTATACATAGTTATACACAGCTATTCACGGCTATACACAGTTATACAGGGCTATACAAAGCTATACATAGTTATACACAGCTATACACAGCTATACACAGCTATACACGGCTATACACAACTGTGTATACAGCTGTGTATTCAGCTATACAGGGCAACACACAGCTATACAGGCCTATACACAGCTTTACAGGGCTATACACAGCTATACAGGGCTATACACAGCTATACATAGTTATACACAGCTATACACAGTTTTACACAGCTATACACGGCTATTCACAGCTATACATAGTTATACACAGCTATACAGGGCAACACACAGCTATACAGGGCTATACACAGCTTTACAGGGCTATACACAGCTCTAAAGGGCTATACACAGCTGTACAGAGCTATACATAGGTATACAAGGCTTTACACAGCTTTACAGGGCTATATACAGCTGTACAGAGCTATACACAGTTGTACAGAGCTATACACAGCTGTACAGAGCTATACACAGGTATACAGGGTTTTACACAGCTTTACCGGGCTATGCACAGCTATACAGAGTTATACACAGCTATACATAGTTATACACAGCTATACAGGGCAACACACGGCTACACATGGTTATACACAGCTATACACATCCATAGACAGCTATGCACAACCATACAAGGATATACACAGCTATACACAGCTATACACAGCTATACACAGCTATACAAGGCTATACACAGCTATACAAGACTATACTCAGTTATACAGGGCTATGCACACCTATGCAGAACTATACACAGCTATGCAGGGCTATACACAGCCATGCAGAGGTATACACAACTATACAGGGCAATACATAGCTATACACGGTTATATATAGCGTTTTTTTCTTACCAACTTTATTGGGCATATCAGATAAATATTTGAACAAGGCAAAAGTACAATAACAAATAGAAAACAAAAGAGAAACTGAGATAAAACTGCACCCAAAAGGGAAGGCGCGAAGGGGACGTAAAGTCCCATGCGAGGCGCCGCCCATTATGAATTAAAAAACACTATAAAATAGAAAATTACAAAAATACAGAATAAATAAATGAATAATTTCAACTTAGTGGCCCGAGTACGTACTGGCTAGTGTCCACGTGCAGGGCCAATCAATATCATATATAGTTTTTAGGCGGTCTAGCATTACATTGCGGACTGGTACGAACCTGGGTTGTCAAAGCTGGTGGATGGTAAGACGGAGCAAGTAAGGTTCCAGAGTTTAACAATGCGAGTAGAGTATGAGGCCTGAAAAGTACTGGTTCTACAAATGGGTGTTTTTAGGTTGAAAGAGTTACACAGTCTGGTACGGCCATGGAAGATAAAGTCAACAAAACAGTGTACGTTAAAGTCAATATAGTTGTGACATTTGTAAAAAAATAACAAGTTTTTCAGTTCTCTGTCAAAGGATAAAGGGAGCAGGTCAAGCTTGATTAATCTGTCCTTGTAAGAGACCTCTCTCACCCGAGTTTGTAAAATCCAGCAGGTGGCGCGGTGTTGTACTCGCTCGACTTGGGCCCTTAGGATGACTTGAGTGGGCGACCAGACTTGCGTGGCGTAGCACAGCTGAGACTTGACAAGCGACAGGCATAGCGTGCACCAAACAGTCACGTCGGTTATTAGGGGGCATGTTCGCTTTAAAAGCCCAAGGAGCTTGTTGGCTTTCGCAGTACTAGCGTGGATGTGGGGCTTCCAAGACAGCGATCTTGTGATGTGAACACCCAGATCTTTTTCGGTGGAGACGCGCTCAAGTTGAGAGCACTGTCTAGGGTGTACTCGTGAACCAGGGGGGATTTTTTATTGGTGACAGTAAATGATTTACAGTTAGAGGTGTTAAATTTAATGCGATTACGCTTTGACCAGTTGTTTAAGTTACCTAGAGTAGTTTTCAGAGACTGACAATCACAAATAGAGGAGACGCTTTTGTACAGCTTGGTGTCATCAGCGTACAACGCTGCCCTGACCCCGCCTACGACTTCATCCGGTAGATCATCAATAAAGATTGTGAACAGTAGCGGCCCTAACAGACTCCCTTGTGGGACGCCGGAAGTAACCGGCGCCCACTTTGATGCACCTTCCACAATCACCCTTTGGGCGCGACCAGCTAAGTAGTCCGTGAACCATGCAAAACGTGGTCCCGAAACACCGTACGCCTTCAACTTGGCCAGGAGGATTAAGTGATCAACGGAGTCGAACGCTTTGGCGAAATCCAGATAGATTAAGTCTAACTGAATGTTCTTGTCCAGAGCTTCGCCAATGGCATGCAACACCGACAGTAGCTGGGTGACACACAAGCGGTTCTTCATAAACCCGTGTTGTAAGTG